AACTGTTAACTCTTCCTAAGGAGTCAACAATTATATGGGGACTCAGTAGAAAACAATCAAAACCTGAGTAGGATACATTCTACAATCTGAAGAATGAATAAATTCCAAAGTGTGAAACGATGTAAGATATTCAGGCAAAAATAACCTGTTAAAACATAAAAGAAAGGCCAGGAAGTTGGCTCAGTGGGTAAGGTGCTTGTTGTGCAGGTCTGAAAACCTGAGTTCCATCCTCAGCACCCACAGTGGAAGGAGAGAACTGACCTCCATATATGCGCTGTGGCATATCTATATCTACAAACAAACATACACGTACACAAAAATGAATAATGTGAAAAAATAAAAAAAGACATAAAGCAATTCTGTATCTATTCGATAATCTCAAACTCTGGATTATTCTATGGAAGAGTTAAGTTTCAATTGTGTAGATTTGGGTAAATTTAATATTCTCTATCTACAAATTAATCAAACATAAATTATTCATATGTCTTTGTAGTGCTACTAAACCATTTAAAATAACAGTATTTGACTAGTAATAATCAGATACATAGAAATTAAAGACACATGTGCAAACATCCAATGCTCTCTTCTGGTCTCCATGGGAATTGCATGCATGTGGTACAGGTACATAAATACTGGCAAAATACTCATACACATAAATAAAAATAATTTTTTAAAACCCAAGGAAATATCTTGTTATAACATTAAATGAAAATTTGCTATTAAAATATTTCTTAAGATCATAAAATTTTTCATCTAAATTATTTTTGCACTGTAAAAACGGATCAACATTATCTTTAACATAACAGAAAATAAGTTACTAAGTGTTCTATTTAGCTTTTCAATGAATTATTTAACTGGATTATTTTATTGGATTTGTTGAAGTTTTGTTCACATCTCAATTTCTTTGTTGTGTTATTGTGTGGGTGCATATTTTTGTGTGTGCAGGTGTGCAGAGGTCGGAGGTCAACTCTGGGTGTCATTCCTAAGAAGCTGTTCACATTTTTTGTTGTTGTTGTTTTTTGAGACAGTTCTTTCACAGTGTCTCTTGAGACAGTCTGGAGTATGACAAATAGGCTAGACTGGATGGTCAGCAAAACTGAGGGATATCCCTGTGCCTGTCTCTGCCTGCCCAGGGCTGCCATTACAAGCTTACACCATCATGCACAGCTTTGTTTACTTGAGTTTTGGGAACTGAACTCAGGTCTTCAACCTTTTACAGCAAGCATTTTACTGACTCTAATTTTACTTCTTAATCACACAAAGGAATTTCCTTAACTTCTTCACTCCCCTTAAAATGTGGCTATTTTTTTCTGTAAGTTAAGACTAAATTTAAACAAAATTTTGATTATTCTAAAATTCCAAATGTAAAACACATGAAATAAATACTGAAAATTAGAATTTAATTTCATTAAAATAATTCAAACTAGGGGGCTGGAGAGATGGCTCAGTGGTTAAGAACACTGACTGTTCTTGCAGAAGACCCAGGTTCGAATCCCAGCATCCACATGGCAGCTAACAACTGTCTATAACTCCAGTTCCAGGGGATCTGACAGCCTCTTCTGTCCTCTGCGGGCACTGCATGACACGGGTGTAGGTAGCTACATGCAAGTAATACACGCACATAAAAAAAAAAAAATCAAACTATTTTCTTTCTCAAAGTATTCTTTCTTTGTTTCTGGAAAAATCAATTGGCCATAATCATCTTTGGCTCAGCATTCTGACCTAGAGCTCAAAATTAATAAAAATGTATTTCATAGTTTTAGTTAACAGATGACTACATGTAGTTTAGTGGAAAAATTGGTTTATCAAGTAAAACAAAAATCGGAGTATGCTCCACACTAGTCTACGTTTATATATGGGCTAAAGACCAACAGAGGCAGGTAATGTTTTTAAAGCTGTCTACTTTGTATAAAAATACAATCATATTAGTTATAATTTTTCTCTATTAAAAATGTAAGATCTCAGGACTAGAGAGATGGCTCAGCAGTTAAGAGCACTGGCTGTTCTTGTAGAAGACCCAGGTTCAAATCCCAGCACCCACATGGTGGCTAACAACTGTCTGTAACTCCAGTTCCTGGGGATCCAACACCCTCTTCTGTCCTTCTCAGGCACTGTACAACATGGGTGCACTTATACAGATGCAAGCATAACACATACACATAAAATAAAAATAAAACACAAATTTTAAAAAAAGTAAGATCTTAGATTTACTAAAGTACTGGCATGGTAGTGTGGCAGAACAAGAGAAAACCAAAAACAACCCAACCATTAAATTGTATGGAAATGGTTCTAAGGGACTATATCAAATGAATAAACAGTCATGAAAATCTACTAAATTCATTAAGAACAGCAAATATTTGTGATATCTGCACCAAAACTCCCTCCTTCCTTCTTTCCAGCTCACCAAGACAGAAACTTGGTGAATGTGAATGTGATGCTCAAAACTTAAGAGGGCTCCCTCTGTCTGCAGCCCTCAGAAGGGCTAGCTTTTCAGGGGCAGGTTTCAGAATTTATCACCTTCCTCGTTACCTTATTAAGCGCTGAGACAGTGAGACTGAATTATAGGTGTTCTCTTTGCCCAGCCCCATTGGCTGGCCAGAGGTTCTATCTTGGGCAAGGGGCTGCACAAAGTAAGGACCCAATAGCCCTCCCTAAAGGCTTATAAAGTGCTGGATTCCATGTTAGGACAGAGAAGCTGAGATTTGACACTAACTCCTGCCCTCCATTTATCCCTGAGTTCCTTGAAACAGGAGTTCTTAGGGAAAAGCAACCATTGTCCTCATCACCTTTAGAAGTTAGCTCAGAGAATCTGCCTTGCAGAAGCAGATCTTAAAACACAGAAATACAGTATCTTCCCAAGGGAACTGATCCCATTTGCAACATGGGTTGTAGAAATTCAAGCACAATGGAAATCTTAATAATGGTGGAGGCGCTAAGATAATTTGTAGATCTAGAGGTCTCCTGGAGATAGGCTACATTATTGACCAGCTAGCTTTTAGGATAGAACCTGGGTTTTGCAAAGACTGCTGGGAGAAGCTCTCCAGCTAGTGGAGCTTAACTACTAGGTATGTCCAGGAAAAGATAACCAGAAACCCTTGCCAAAACCACAATCATCCCAGGTTACTGAGTGATTATGGGCTGAATGATGGTAGAGTGAAGGGATGTTGGACAGAAGAGCTTTCACTCAATCTAGCCAGCCACTCAACAAAGGAGCAAATAACAACACTCTGGAAGGGAGAGAATACTCATAATTTCTATATTATCTAAAATGCTCAATTTCCAATAAAAAACAAGACATGCAAAAAAATAAAAACAAACAAAAAACCAAGGAAAGTCAAAAACCAAAAAACCTAAGAAACAAACAAAAACCCCAGGAAAGTAAAGTATCATCTGTGCTCTATACACCAGTAAGAAAGTAGATAACATCAGTTCCCCTTAAGAGTAACCAAACTTTAAATTAAATGGATATGTCACTGCATGTTCAAAGAACTGAATAAAGGAACCATAATAAAAGGAAAGAGGAGCTAGTATAACGAAGTGACGTCAAATAAATATATAAAGAGAAGTTATAAAAAAGAATTAAAAAGAAATTAAAGTTTAAAAGTATAAAATCACTAGAATGGCCCAGCTGGCAGAAGAATGCACTCACAAACTTGAAGACGGGTAAGAGATGATTCAACCCAAAGGCTAAAAAGAAATAATAATGAAGAAAAATGAGCTGACTCTAGAGCAATGTGGAAGCCAAGAAGCCTAATAATATATGCTCAATAAGGAGTTCCAGAAAGACTGGAAAAAAACGAAAAGAAAAATTTCAAAATAATGACTGAAAATACCCAAACTTACTGAAAATATAAATTTTAATTTTTGTATCCAGAAAACTCACTGAACTCCAAGTGGGATAAATGCAAAAAGGAGAATAGGTCAGTTGTTTTAAAACTGTATGTGCTAGCCGGGTATGGTGCTGCACACCTTTAATTCCCACACTCAGGAGGCAGGTGAATTCAAGGCCAGCCTGGTCTACATACAGGGTTATAAAGCCAGCCAGGGCTGGACAGTCAAGACTTTGTCTCAAAAAGACAAAACGAAACAAAGCAACGAAACAAAGTGTGTGTATGTGTGCATATGTATAAAGGCCAGAGAGCAATGCTGGGGTATCTTCCTCAACTGCTTCTCCAACTTTTTTTTGAGACAGGGTGTCTCACGGCACCTGGATCTTACTGATTCAGCTATATTGGCTGCAGTCAGCATACTGGCTCCAGCTCCAGGGGATCCGACATCTACCTCTGCCCAACACTCAACATGCACAAAGCTGAAAATAAATAAATTTTAAAAATCAAACAAAAAACACCAGCGAAAGCCAGCATCTCCCCTAACATCAAGAAAAGGACATCCTTTACTTATTAACATCGTACTAGAAGTTCTAATGATAATTTGTCAAGAAAACATAAAAGGAATCCAGATTTGAAACGACCTATTTTTATTTGAGGACAACACAATTTTAATATTCAGAAAATCCTATTGAAACAAATACAAAAATCCAATCCACCAAGCTTACAGGATATTAGATAATTTACAAAAATTAACTGTGTATTTGCAATGAACAAACCATACTGACTACAGATCCAAAACAATACTTATCAGAATTCCAGCTAATTTTATAGAAATGGAGATGCAGATTTAAAAATTCATAGGGAATGAGAGCAAGAACAGAGGAAAGAATTCTGTAAAACAAAAATACTACCCCCCCCCCAATGGGGATGTGGTGGCACGCCTTTAATCCCAGCACTGGGGAGGTAGAGGCGGATAGATCTCAGTGAGGTCCATGCTAGCTGCAGCTACAGGGAGACCCTGTTTCAAAAAGGCAGAAAAAAGCAAGAAAAGAAAAAAAGAAAGAAAAATAACAACCCAGGAATTCAGATTTCTATATCCTTTGAGACTTAGTAGGGTCCTGGCATGAGGACAAACAGAGATAAGTGGAACAGAATTACCAATCTTATAAATCAAGAATGAACTGACATGTTAATAGATCTAGAGTTTTGACAAAGGTACCCCATGAGTTTCTGGAAATGCTGTCATTTCTAGTTACTTGGTTTCCTATTCCTGGACCTTTCCTTCCCAATCTTACCCAAACAAGAATACAAGTATACTTAAAAGACCTATTGATGGTATTGTATTCTTTCTTCCTAACAGCACTCCAACACTTTCATCAGAGGAACTACTGACCGTGCTAAGCTCCACCTCCAAAAATCTGAGGTAAAAAACCTAACTAGCCAAACAAAAATCAAACCAAGCAAACCTTCAACCAATGAACTACCTTCTACAATAGCTATTGTTTTCTAACATTTAGATTTAGCTCCTATATTCAAGACCTAAATCTTTCACTTCCCACAATTATTTCCATTACTTTCAAAGTCATCATTAACCTTTACCTAAACTGTTCTGAGACTGCTGTATTGCTGTATACCACAGCTTTTCCTTTTCTTTTCTTTTTTTTTTTTTTTTTGAGACAGGGTCTTTTTGTAGCCCCAGCTGGCCTCGAACTCACAAAGATCCACCTGCCTCTGCCTCCCAAGTGCTGGGATTAAAGGCGTGTGCCACCACGCCCATGCTTTTCTACCAATGTATATCATCAATTCTTCTATACTTTTATTAAAATTTTATTATTTAGTTAAATTGATTTATTTTTTGCATATATATGTGGGACTACATATGGAGGCCAGAGGTTGACACTGCATGTCTTTGTCCATTGCTCTTCACCTTACATACTAAGGGAAGGTTTCCTTCTGAACCCAGAGCTTGCCAATCTGGCTACTCTGGCTAGCCAGTTTGCTACAGAGAATCCCCTTTCTCTGTCTCCTGAGGCTGGGATTACGGGTGGGCTGTCACACCCACCTGGCTTTTACTCAGGTTACTATAACTTGGGTTTTCACATTTATGTAGCAGGTGCTTTACCCACTCTACAATGAATGTACTTTTTGTAGAAAGCTTAAGAATACTATGTATTTATACACAACTATAAGGTATTCACTAATTCTGCTTTATATTTTCAGTATCTGCTTATTACTACCTACCAAACAAGTGAACACAAGGATTTTGCACGTACGATCAAAGAAAATGTTATAAATGAGAATCAAATGCAATAGTAAGTATAATACCTCAAAAATAGTCTTATAAATTAATAATTATTAATGAAGAGAATTTACTGAAAGGGGGTGGGACTACATAAGAGAAGTTCCTCAGTGGAATGACAAATCATGAACCAAAATATCTATTTTAAACCTATAATCTTAACTGTTTTCCTACAACAAACATCAATATCTCAATACCTTATGTATTTCAAGGCTAACTTAATTTTAAAGCTTAATTCTTAACTACATCTATACTTAGCTGGAAAAAAGAAGTTAAAGACACTAAAGTCATGAATCATCTTAATTTTTAATTTAAGTGTTTTATTATTTTTATTTTATGTGTATGCGTGTACTGCCTGCATGTAGGTAAGTGCACCCATGTCATGAAATGCCAGCAGAGGACAGAAGAGACTGTTGGATCCCCTGGAACTGGAGTTACGGACAGTTGTTAGCTGTCATGTGGGTGCTGGGATTTGAACCCGGGTCTTCTGCAAGAACAGTCAGTGTTCTTAACCGCAGAGCCATCTCTCCAGCCCCAAGACATGAATCATCTTAAATACAAACTCTACATTTTAAAGATAAGAAACACAGGCATGGAGAAACAAAACATCTTGGCTTAAGATCCCTTACTAGCCTAACAAGTAGTACCTACTATAAGTGGGGAAAAAAAGGTACAATGGCTGAATTAATTTCAAGAACAGTTACCATTCTAATACATTAATAAGATCATATAAGATGTCACATAGTAATAATTCCAAATTACTCAAATTAATAGTAGTCAAAATCAACTTTATTACTGCCTCCATTTCAACAGAACTAAAATAAAAAAATAATTGACCCGTTCCTGTAATTTCTTTTCTTCATATTTCTACCCTATATCTAAATCCAAATTCTAGTTTACAGTGTCAGAAGCTATTTTTTAATAATGTTCCATTTAAAGAGCAAAACTATCAAAGAAGAGGAAGAGGAAGTGGAGGAAGAAGAGAGAAAAGAGAAAGAGGAAGGAGGAAGGAGAGGAAGAAGAGAAGGAGGAAGAGGACAAAGAAAAAGAAGTAGATGAATCTAAACTTAATGAACTCAGAGAAGAAATGGAAACTAATGAAATTAAAAGTTGGTGGGAGGTGCCTATATCACTTCAAGGGTAACAGTTTACCTTAACGTTTGACTTTTTTGAGAAATTCACTACTACTCCCCAGCCAAAATCATCTCCTTCATTTTTCACCTGAAAATAAAGCAAATAAGCAAAAATAACATTTATATCCAAAATGCAATTATAGTCTTCTAAACCTATATTTTAGGCTAATAAAGATTTTTAACTTTACTAATGTTTTTAAAAGATTACAAGATACTAATCCTATAGCAAGGGTAAAAAAAAAAAATCAACACCAGATTTCTTAGGTCCCTAGACCTGCAATAAGAAGAATCTGGCAATTGGCAAACAAATGCTAAGCAGGACTCTATACTTGTTCTGAGAATATTTTGTCTTTTATATCTAATGAATCTGAGACTAAAACTGCCCTATTTTTAGAAAGCATTTCAAATTTAAAAAATTTAAAGAAGTGTTAACCAAAAAGCAGTCCAAATTAGGGCAATGTGAAGCAGGTAAGAGAGATGATACAGACCACATATTGTAGCAGGAATTGTTTTTCCAAGGTAAATAACAGGGTCTTACCTAATATGTTTTAAGCTATGGTAATATTCAAAAATTTTATGTAAAAATAATGACATACCTTTACCAAACGCCCTGGCTGTAGAAATGGTAAGCAGTATTTTGGTTTATGAATATATTCTTCAATTTCTTTACCCAGCTTAGCAAGCTGCTGTCTAATCTTGTAATAGATGACCACACTTTCTTCATTGGGAATTACTATTTTATTGTACTGTTCTTCTGAGTTTTTTACCTCTGTAAATAAAACACATTATGCTGTGAAAAAATCTTAAATAAATTATACCTAAGACATCTACACTTTCCTATTATGATTCCACAGAAGAAAATCAGTTCATATAGATTATTCTAGAAGGCAAGGATTATATAGAGGAAGAGTCTTCAGAGATGATGATATGGTATTGAGTCTAGTTTACTTCCTCTGCACTAAGGTTCACTTTTTCTGTCTCTTCTTATAGCAATAACCCTCTGTGTTAATCTGTCTCCCTATTCTACACTTTTCGTGCTGACCTCCCTTTCTAAATCATTCCATCACGTTTCCAACCCATTGTGAACTTATTTTTGTTATGGTAAAATTCACATAACAGAAAATTTACCATTAGTGATATTTAATATGCTCACAAATCTAGAACTTAGTATCAATATACTATCATTTAAATACTTAAAATTGATGGACATTTGTATCACTTCTGCTCTTTGGCTATTGTCCATGGTGCTGTTTGCCTAAACACATTTTCAATTCTTTTTGTTACACAACTAGGAATGGATTAGCTAGGTCATATGGTAATTCTACATTAAACCTAAGGAACTGTCAAACTATGTGCATAGTGACTACACCATTTTGTTGTTTACCTTTTGTAAAATGTACTCATTCCAGTTGCGTTTTTGTTGTTGTCTTCAGATAGGGTTTCCCTGGTATAGAACTCACTAGGTAGACCATGCTGGCCTCAGTCTCAGAGATCTGCCTGCCTCCTGAGTGGTTGATTAAAGGCATGTGCCACCATCCCCGGTGTGGAACGATTTTGAATTGCATTTCTCTTGATTATTATCTTTTTTATTTTTTTGGTCTTTTTGAGACAGGGTCTACCTGTAGTGGGGCTGGTCTGGAACTCACCATGTAGACCAGACTGGCCTTGAACTCACAGAGATCCTCGAGTTGCATTTCTCTTATAATGAAAGATGCTGAACATCTTAGTATAAGTTTTAGGTCACTCATAGGGATTGACATTTATGTATTTACTTATATTTTTACAGAATGAACAACCCTAAGTCCTTGCACATGCTAGACCACTTAATCACTGAGTCACACCCCTAGCCCATTTGTCCATTTTTAAATTCAACTGTCTTTTTGTTGAGTCCTATGAGTTCATTATATATTCTGGATACTAGATCTTTATTAGATAGATGGCATGTAAATAGTTTCTCTCGTTTATACTCATTTGATAACTTCAAGAACAACTTTTTAATATGTTGAAATCCAGTGTTTCATATATGTATTTGTTCATACTTCTGGTGTTATAACCAAGAAATCATTGTCAAATTCAGGATTATAATGGCTATGTCTATGCCTTCTGAGTTTTCTAGTTTCAATTCTTCTATTTAGAACTTCAACTTTGAGTTCATTTTTGTTCACAGTTTGAGGGAAGGCCTGAACTATGTTCTATACTTATTCTGTTGAAAAGTCAACAGATAACAGATACACAAAATTATTTCTGTATTCTATCCTAGTCTTTGGATTTATAATGAACTTCTCTATTTAACCTGAGTGCTTCAGATTAACTTTTATCTATCTATCTATCTATCTATCTATCTATCTATCTATCTATCTATCATCGTCTATCTCTATCATCCATCCATCCATCCATCCATCCATCATCTATCTATCCATCTTTATTTTGTGTGTATGAGTGTTCTATCTGCAAGTATGTAAATGTGCCATATGCAAGCAACATCTACAGGCCAGAAGAGGTGATCAAAACCATTGGAAATGGAGTTATGGACGGTTGTTAGCTGCCATGTGAGAACCATGGAATCCTGGGTTCTCCCAAGAGCAGTCAGTGCTTGTTAACTGCTGAGCCCTCTTGCCAGCCAAGTACATCAAATTTTTAACATTAGAAAAAAAAAAAAAAAAAAAGATAACAGCATACATAGCTCACAAATCTTTCCCGAGATTAACTGAACAAGATAGAGTGTTCCTAGCTACCAGCATAACAGGAAGAGTATTTTGATGTATTATTAGTAATTTTACTATCTTCAACATTTGTACAGACTGCTCCCTGTGACTGCTGGTCTTTTGTATTCTCTGAGTATAACACAACATCCTGGCTGGGGTGATGTCTCAGTGGGCAAAGTGCTTGCTATGTGAGCATGAAGACTTGAGTTCAGATCCCCAGCACCCATGGCTGGTACTTCTGTAACCCCGGTACTGCTGCAGTGGGGACAGATGAATCCTAGAGGCTCAATGGCTAGGCAATTTAGCGCAAAAAGTAAGTTCCAGGTTCAGTGAGAGATCCTGACTAAAAGGGTAAGGTAGGGCCAGTTAGGTGGCTCAGTGGGCAGAGAGGCCTGCTGTTAAGTTTGATGCACCGGAGTTCAACTTCCTGGGACCCATATGGTGGAAGGTGAGAACTGACTCTCATAAGTTGCCTTCTGACCTCCACACATGTGCCAGGACATGCGTGGGCCCCACCCGCAAGGTAAGTAAATAAATGTAGTCAGGGGAAACAAAAGCAAAAATGAGGTGAAGGGCGAGGTGACTATTAGTGGACAGGTGCTTGCTACACAAGCATAAGGACCTGAGTTTGGTTCTCCAGCACCCACATAAATAGGCTAGTGATATGGGAGGTGGAAACAAGATCACTGGGCCTTGCTGGATACCAGCCACACCAGAAAAGCATGGTCCAGGTTCAATGAGAGACCCTGTCTCAAGGGAATGAGGTGAAGCATAAAGAGGATACCTGACACCCCCTTTGATCGCTACATACGCGCACCTGCATAAACACATACACCCTCCCCCCCAAAAAGCTAAAGGTCAACAGAGGAAGACAAGTCAACCACTGGCCACAACATGTACATCCGTAGGCAAGCACACCCTTCCATACATGTGCACAAACAATACACACGAAAAGTAAAAATAAATCTACAGAAGAATACTAGAGAAACTGAAGTCATTAAAATCATATACAAGGGCTGAGTTTGACATTGTAAGGCCTTCTCAATTGCTTCTCCACCTTTTTTTGACCAAGGGTCTCTTAGTGAACCTGGAGCTTCCTTGTTTCAGCTAGACTGGTGGGCCAGTGAGCCCCCAGTATCCTCCCATCTCTGCCTCTTAGCACTGGAATTATAGACACACATCCGTTGCCATGCTTGGCTTTTTAGGTACATGCAGGGGACCTGAACTCAAGTCCTCCTGTGTGCTTGCTTCAAAGTACTTTATCCAATGACCCAACTCCCCAGCCCTAGCCTTTTCAAAAAAAAAAAAAAAAATTTGTACTACCTCTCTCAAGTTGCCCCAAACTTGGAATCATTCTAACTCAAACTCCAGATTGTCAGAATTATGGGCCTGTACCACCACACCTGGACTCACACTGTTCTTCATGTTGTAAAATGATCCTTAAAAGGAAACACTTCCTAGCTTCTCTTTGGCATACCCAAATATCCACTACTGCTAGGCTTTGGGGTCATAAGTAAACTAAGGGCTCCTTGAATATAAACACTGTGATACTGTGACAATCAACCTGACAATTTAAGAGACTAATGGCTATGCTGCATGTCCAGCACGGGTAAGACACAGGGTGATGCAGATCCCAAGATGGAAAAATGAGAAGAGATGATACATGATTTCACTATGCCACTCAAAACAGTGTGCAGTGAAAAACATCAATTTCTGAACTATTTCACTTAAAATTTTTGCTACAGCTAAGAATGAATAAATGAAACTGAGCAAAGTGACAATGTGATGAGGTTGCAGGGTTACTGCATCTCTTATCAGATAATGGGGGAAAAAAAGGAACTTCAGTCTAAGAAGCTAGTTTCACTGCAAAGTAGAGGATCTTATGGGTACTGCCATGAAGAACCCCAGTATTTTAAGAATTAGTATGTAAAAACACAGCTATACACTCTTAGTTTGCATCCAAGTTCTTCCTTTAGAGAAAAGAGGCTTGCTGGGATTCAGTGAGCTTTACTTAAAAACTGTAGAGAAGGGGGCTACAGAGGTGGCTCAGCAGTTAAGAGCACTAGCTGTTCTTCCAGAGAACCTGGACTCAGTTCCCAACACCTACATAGATGTTAACCATCTAAAACTTCCTTTCCAGGGACTGATGCCTCCTTCTGACATCCGCAGGCACTGCATAACATGGATGCACTTACATACCTGCAGGCAAAACACTCATACACATAAAATAAATAAATAAACTGCAGTGAAGAGTGATAGAATTCTGATTTCTAACACCAATCTGGCCTCCACATGCACACTCACACCC